TACCACTGGGCTATACCACTGAGATATACCACTGGGCTATACCACTGGGCTATACCACTGGGCTATACCACCGAGCTATATACCACTGAGATATACCACTGGGCTATACCACTGGGCTATACCACTGAGCTATACCACTGAGCTATACCACTGGGCTATATACCACTGGGCTATACCACTGAGCTATACCACTGGGCTATACCACTGAGATATACCACTGGGCTATACCACTGGGCTATACCACTGAGATATACCACTGGGCTATACCACTGAGCTATACCACTGAGATATACCACTGGGCTATACCACTGGGCTATACCACTGGGCTATACCACTGAGCTATACCACTGGGCTATACCACTGAGCTATACCACTGGGCTATACCACAGGCCGAAGGGCTACAGTGACCAGCATAGGAAGCCGTATTTTTTGCTCTATTCATTTCAATGAGACGAATAACGCATTAAAGGTTAAATATTAATATGATACAGGACAACCTATCACAATATCGCAAGAAGCCATGATTTTTGCATCGTTAGAGCCCGACCGGCCGGGTCTCTGTGAGATCAGAGCTGTGGGACGACTTACGGGGGATGTGGCTCAACGGGTCATCGAAGAAACTCGAGATGGGATTGGCGGTGGTGTTGGAGTGGGCGGAGAAGGTGGAGCTGGTGGCGAAGGGGGGACTGGTCACTGTGAAGTTTGCTTTGCCAGTTCCCATCAAAGCCTACGAGTTTGGAGCATTGGATATGGAAAAAAAGGAAAAGTCGTGATGGTTGGAGAAGCTGGACGAGGAGGGCGAGGAGATCTGGAAAGAAGAAGAGAGGCACCATGAAAGAGCAGTTAACGGTCAACCAGTGATCTTTGTGTTAGGTGGGCTGATTCCACCTTAATTCCACCCGGTCCTTATGGAGACTTGGAAAATGAACAGAAGAGGTCTTTAACTCATTGGCTGCCAAAGACGTCTATAGACGTCTTTTATGTTTTTCAACGAGAGTGGCTTGGGAGACGATCGGCTAAAGTTTTTCCGTAAATATCGGCTTCCAGACAGAGTATGTAGTGACAAATTTACCCTTTAGGTAGCTGTGCCACTTTTGATGGGAGATTAGCATAGATTGTAGGCAAATAAAAACGAACGCAATGGTTCGCTATGCGAAAAATGGCGCCGGTGAGACGCAAGTCGAGGAAGAACGGAATAAGGTAGAAACAAATTTTTTTTCCTGATGAAAGAAGAGAGTCTTCTCTTTCTTTTGGTGTGTTCGGTGTTTACATAGTCATAGCACAAACTATTCTGTGGCTCTTGAAAAATCCGTCAAAATACTAAAAAAACTGGCAGTATGGGACTCTCCGTTCTGAAAATGGCTGCCAGTCAACGAGTTAAGAAAATGAATGGAATTTATTCCGGCCACAGGTAGGATATCACAGCACTGGACTCTCTGGGGAATGTTGTTTCAACGACGCGATCCCACCAAAGACCCTCGATAGACATCAATCACGTACATTTATTTTCTTGGGCTAAGCTCCGCCCCGTACAATGCAAAACTAGTCTTCGCAGCACCGAATTGTAATTGGCCATTTAACTCTAACGTAAACATGCCAGCTTCCTGTTCACGTGATCGTATAGTGTCGTAACAAAGTGTTGGGAATGTTGGTTGTTGGCGTGCAGCTAAAAAACACAGGATAAACATGAACCAGAGGTTGGGACTCGAGTCACATGACTTGGACTCGAGTCAGACTCGAGTCGTTAAAATCACGACTTGAGACTTGACTCGGACTTGAGGACAGAGACTTGAGACTTACTTGAGACTTGCAACACAGTGACTTGGTAACACCTCTGACATGAACTTTGACAGAATCTAAAATTAATTCTTTCATTTGTGACACCACAAACAATACAAAGCTTTATTCTAAAAAGCTTTTTCAGTACAACTGAAGGGAGTGGAGCTCCTGACCAGTAGGGAGAAACACAGACCAAAGGGAAGACACAGCCATACTCGTGTTCTCTCATAGGGAATCCCCACACAGGAGAAACTGGAAGCTAAAAACAAGCAGTAAGGAGCAAACATTGTGGCCTGCGTGACATTCCTCCTGCAGGCCTCCGCCATGAGCAAACATCTCCAAGGGGACGTTTCACTTTGAGTCTGATAACTTGAGTTTCTGCTGCGCCTTTGTGTGAAACTCAGATCAGAATCCAATGGTCAACAAGGTCCGAAGCAGTTATCAACCAACTGTACTTCAATCACCGAACACATAAATCAGATTAACCAGGGATTTACATTTTTGGGGTTTTTTTCCATAGAGAAACCAATGATCTTTCAGGTTAAAAACACTGTATGTTTACGGAGATTCGACTGGTATGTTAACAGACTAATCCATTGCTGGGAAATAGCTCCATGTTTTCATAAGAAGAGGATATCAGGAGTCAATAAGAGTCATATTAGTCATTAAAAGTCATCCAAATTAGTCATTAGAAGTCATACAAATTAGAAATCATCTTAGCACAGGCAGAAAAATGGGTCAAAATGCAAAAATAAAATGATTCTATTCCCATTTCGCAACCAATGGCAAGTGCGAGTAACGTTTGAGTTTCGATTGAATTTAAAGGAATATGTCAATAAAGAACTGTACTCACTATTCAGGTTTACAGAAATGCCGACATGTCTTAGTCCAATAATCTGAGGCTGAAGTAACAACAGAGGAAAAACTGCCCAGAGCTGGATCTGTTACAGAGGAAGGAGGTGACGTCTGGTTTTGGCGATTGGAGTTGACTTTTTCCCCCAAAAACAAAAAAACAAGCCTCAAGCTTTTTTGATCAAAGAGAGGAAATGTCTCCTCCCTCCATTGACACGCGGGATGTTTTTAGGGTAATCAGGAAAGAACAACACCACAAAAAAAAAAAAAAAAAACTGTGGATGTAGTCAATGACAGCATTTCTTCAGTGGTAGATTCACTTTTATTTTAAAAAAAAAGCTTTTATCTATAAGAAAACAAAACACCAACACCCACTTTCCAGCTTAATCAGATCAGATTTGCAAACATCTTCACTAGAAATGACAGGAATAACCATCAGATTTGGTTCTTAGTGTCCAATTTTTCTCCGATTTGAAATTTCTAAGATAATAAATAATACAAAACTCTCTTGGAAACATCTGAAACTACACAAAGTCTTTCAGTCAGACAGCTGGATTATTCAGATCAACAAATATAGAACAATTTTCCTAAATGAAGGAGGTAAATCTGATGTTGGAAATAGAGAAAAACAAACTGTTCAGTGTCTGAGTCTTTTTTCAGGCTTTCAACTCTCAAATGTACTCAAAAAATACGAGGGTTATTCTTCTATTTTTAATCTTGCTTTTGTCATAGAAACAACCGTTTTCTAGTTTATTCTGTTTCTCCATTTAACTAAAAACAAAGAGGTCAGTTTTTTTTTTATATCAACCATTCTGGTTAAAGAACAAAATGTGAGCTTGTGTGGCTTAAACTACACAACAGAGCACCTTAGATAGCAAAGTCATTTAAATGTTTTTTTTACAGATCCGTCACAAAGCAAACAAGGAATCATTATGATGAATTAACCTCACCTAAAACGAGTGTTTTTGGACTGGAGGAAGTCACTAGAGGGCTCACCACAGATATTCAGAACAAGAAAGGAAGGATGGAGGAAAAGAAGGAGGGAAAGAATACCTGGTGTGATTTCCAGGTCTGTGTCATAAACTTCAGCAATAATCCGAATGTTTTCAGTTTTAATTCCAACAATTCCAACAATCTTCTCCGCATCAGGAACCTGAAAAAAGACAAAAAAAATCATCAGGATCTGGTCTGGCTTTACACAGGAAGCCCAGATCCATGTTTCAGCCCCGGGGACAAATGCTGACTTCAAACATCTTCATTCAGCTTTCTATTTTTGAAACATGAGAAAAAAAACAAAAAAAACGTCTTATTTAATAGCTAATAATTCAGCTCTTTTTCTCTTTCAAA